TCTAATGGATGTGATAAAACTGCTGGTACTACTTGTTTTGACAAGACCGAGAGATGCTTGATGCAGATCGGATGACAAAGTTGAATTTTGGAACCATGATGATAAACGGATAGCATTCCACTTAATTAAAACAAGCTAATATAAATCTCGATGAGTTCAAACAGATAGTATTCCACTTAATTAAAACAAGCTGATATGAAGCAAAAATAAAACGAAATAATATCTAATATAAATCTGGATGATGGTTCCACAAGTGCTCGATGAGGTCTTCTTTCAGCTGATCATGTGTTTCCTTGTTTCTGATCTTCCGGTGCGCATCAATGTATTCATCAAGTGTTCGAGTAGCTCGTCCATGAGCAGGTTCAACATTATTTCCACCATAATCAAAACGCTCGTTAGGGTCGACCACGAATCCTTCATCTTCCACAATCATGTTATGCATGATCACACAAGCTCTCATAATCTGAGATATTGTATCTTTGTCCCAAATGTGAACGGGACCTCGAACAATAGCAAACCTAGCTTGAAGAACCCCAAAAGCTCTTTCGACCATTTTCCTAGCTGCTTCTTGCGCTTTGGCAAAATATTGCCTCTTGTTCCCTTGAGGAAGACTGATCGACTTGACTAAAGTAGCCCATGTGGGGTATATGCCATCAGCTAGGTAGTAGCCCATTGTGTAATCATGGCCGTTAATGGAATAGTTAACTTGTGGAGCTCTACCTTCTGCCAAGTTATCAAACAAAGGTGACCTATGCAGAACATTGATGTCATTATGAGACCCGGGCATTCCAAAGAAGGCATGCCATATCCAAAGGTCGTTCGAAGCAACTGCCTCCAAAATGATGGTGGGCTGCTCCACATGCCCCTTGTACTGACCCTGCTTATCGTACGGACAGTTCTTCCAAGCCCAATGCATACAATCGATAGAACCTAACATGCCGGGAAAACCTTTTTGCTCACCGATTGCAAGTAAGCGTGTTGTGTCCGCCTCAGTGGGATATCTGAGATACTGTTCTCCAAAGATTTCATCCACTGCAACAACAAACCTCCGTAGGCTCTCAAATGCAGTACTTTCGCCAATGCGAATGTACTCATCTGTGGCATCAGCGGGAACCCCATAGGTGATCATACGCATTGCAGCAGTGATTTTTTGGAAGCAACTCAACCCAAGTACATTTGCCGCGTCCCTTTTCTGCACAAAGTAATCATCGTGTGCTTCAACGGCGTTCATTATGCGTAGGAAAAGCTCCCTAGACATCCTGTACCTGGAAAAAAATAAATTTTACAAACTCCAGTAATATTTAAACACAGATAACAAGTCAATCCGGAGTGAAAGAACACCAACCTTCGACGGAATAATTCAGGGCCATATGTTGGATTCACTGCCAAATAATCTTGAAACATCCTCTCATGGCCGCCTTTTCTGTCACGGTAAATCATTCTACGACCTAGGACAGAGCCACCGTGTTTTTTTTCATTGGCAAAAGTATCAACAATTGCAGCAGTCCCTAATATCAAACAATCCTCATCATCGGATGATGAATCATCCAATTGCGTTCGAAGAAGGGATCTCTTCCTAGACATGATTCCTGAACGATAAATATATCCTAAATCAAAACCCCAATTCACAATAACTGAAAATAAGAACTAGGTTGCTGCAATAAACAAATCATAACTAAAACTCTCCATAATTCGTTGATGCAATATTATTTTTTGGCTACATTTTTTTTCATACGCTAACATCTGAAAAAAAAAATCAAAAACAGTAACCTGAACATATTGATTGGAATCTGAACATGTAGACAGCAGCCTGAACAAACTCAATGTAATTTTTGAAAAAATCAAACTCAATGTATTCATCTAGGCATATTCATGATACTGAACAAATACGGAGGAGGCTGGGAACAAATAACTTGAACGAGATGCTGGGAACGAGATGCTACGAACCAACTTGGAGCACTCTGGGAACGAGATACTGACCTGCGTACGATGGAGACACGGCGGAATCAAAGATCGGCACAGCACGGCGGCCAGGAGATGGAGAGCACGGCGCAGCACCACGTCCAGGAGATGGAGACCGGCGTAGGATGGCGGCCAGCAGATGGAGATCGACGCGATGAAGCAGCGACGCACGACGGCCACGAGATCTCGGCACCGAGCATATGATGGAGACCGGCGTAGGATGGCGGCCAGGAGATGGAGACCGGCGTAGGATGGCGCACAGCATTTGCCAACTAATAACATGCGTGCATGTGCAACGCAATATACATAGGCCTGGTTCACTTTGCAAATTTTTTTTGAACCCGATGAATAGTACCACTTTCGTCTTATTTGACAAATATTGTCCAATCGTGGACCAACTAGGCTCAAAAGATTCATCTCGTGATTTCCAACTAAACTATGTAATTAGTTTTTTTTATCTACATTTAATACTCCATGTAAGCGGTTAAAAATTGATGTGATGGAGAGAGGGTGAAAAAACTTAAAATTTGGATGGCATCTAAACAAGGCCTATGTGCTCATCCATCTTTGCCAAAATTTGGCTAGGAGGTGAGCCATGACCCACACTATCTCAATAGACCTGTCGTCTGTCTCTGTTTCGTCTCCCGAGACGGAAACCAACAAGCTGCAACGCAAACTTTTTCCATTGCATGGGAGGAGAAATCATATCAAATTAATCGATCCGGTGTACACAGGTTGCATACTTGCATCAGCTGGTAGATGCATCGATCCACACATATTCACATGCAGGCTTCTGGTACACGGTATAGCCCATCACACACTTCACACTGATGCATTCGCACCTAGCTATGCATGGTATCTACAAGGTATAGGGGCACATATATTCACACTTCGCGCTCATGCATTCATACCTACTCCCTCCATCCGCGAAAGAATGAAAAAAATACAGGGAACGAGTTAGTGGAGGTACTAAATGTGCCCCTAGCTTCCTATCCTATGCAAGTACGCAATCATAGCTTTTTTCACGCACACGCAAAGAAGTGCATGACAGAGAAGAAGATGAATAGGATGAGTGCATGAGATACAATGAATGTGGAGCGCGGGAGAGAGATCGGATGGAGTTGATCATACTAGCTACTTCATAGTAGCCTCGTCCTTAAAGTTGCATTCTTTGTGAGACTCCCTCCCCACTCTAAAATTGCATGCTTATCCAGATGGAGGGAGTAGCTAAATCACATACACACCACCCACCATTATATTTCCACCATGTTATGCATCTATAGACATGTAGTCAAGGCTCGTTCTAGGTTTTTAACACAAATAACAAAGTTTCTTTTTCAAAATTACAATACTTGTTTTGACTATATATATCATCATCTTATCTATTATACTAGTATTTGGCCAACAAAAGGAATCTTCACTTTACTTCTTAAGGCCTCCAAATTACCACATTAATTGGGGGAAATTATCCATACGCTTGTTGATAAAATTACCCACCACTATCATTATACAAAAAAATATATCCCAAAATACCTTTATACCTATTCCACTATTACCCACTCACACACCATTATTACGAAAAACACGATGAAGCCAATAAAAAATAAATAAGGGATGACTATCTACCTAGTCAAGGCTTCGTTCCCCTTGCAATAGAAGAAAGGGATTACTCAATGTGAAGTCAAAATGTATCGACACTTATGATTCCACAACATATGGTGGTGTCAAGTTCGGTATCTGACTGTTTATCCTAACTGACGACAAGACAAATGCAACAGAATAAAGACATAGACATATAGCAAAAAAGAAAAGCATTATACATATTAATTTGGACAAAGGGTATCTACTCAGTTCGTTTATGATTTACGTAATGTATATGATAAACAAACTAAACCTGATACCAAACAAAGGGTAATAACGTCTATTTTTTTCGAAATCGTGCTTTGCACGTGCTTCGTTAAGGAAGATGGAGTTGTTACACAAACCGGAAGCGTTCGACGGCGAGATGCCGCAGGCCGCGTACCGGGGGACACTAACATAAGTCACCGGCTCTAACGGCGGAGCTAAACAGTTGAACTAAGTAAGAAACAAGTTTTGCGACCAGTAGGAGGAACGATGCTTCCTAGTTGGCAACCAGAAGCAGCGACGCTAAGCACCGGAACCCTGCGGCGATGTAGGAGTCTACTTCCTCGCTGACGAGAGCAAGGACTAGCTTGGGCCGTCGTCTTGGCGACTTTGTTGAAGGTCCGTCTGTTGCGCTCCTTCCCGATGACCTAGGAGACGAGAAGGACGAGGGAGTCGGAGGCACGCCTGAAGGTGTCCGGGACAGCGCTCCAAGTCTGCAGCCACCAGTCGGTGACGTTGGAGTCATGGCTCGGCCCAAGGTGCTGCAGCCCTGCCTTCGCGAGCAGACGGACCCAGACCTCGCGCGTGAACGGGCAAGAAGCCAGCAGGTGATCGGTAGTCTCGTCGTTTTGAACACACAGCGCGCAGCTGGCCTCCGGCTGAAGACCATGGCGATTGCGGCGCTCGGCAGTCCATAGACGGCCGTGAAGAGCAGGCCAGAAGAAGAAGAATTTAACCTTTGTCGGCACAGCAGCCCTCCAAACGTGCTTGGCGCCAATCAACGAGGTCATACCAGTGAAGAACGCCCTGTAAGCCGAGGACGCGGTATAGTTGCCGCTGGCTGTCCACTTCCAGACGATCGAAGGCCGCTGCTGGACGACTATGTCTCTGACGACATTACGACGCGCACGGCTATTCAAGCCACGTGCGTTCCAGACAAGGAGGTGATTGGCACTCATTGGGGGAACGATGGAGCGACAACGAGCTTATCAGCTCAGAACAGCCTTGCCGAGGCCCGCGAACGTGCTTAGCACGTGTTTCATTAAGCGGAGATAGAAGTTTGTTATACGCCCATCATCGGCAAGTAGTGAGGTGCCACTTGACGAAGGGTAAGCACACTTACACAAAGCACCGATAGAACGGTGGAGACACTAGGTTGTACTAACTTAGGAAAGGATTTGGCGACTGAAGGTCTAAGGGCTGAGCGAGAGCAGCGACGACAGGCTGGAGAACCCAGCCCCGACCCAGACATTTGCGTCCTCCATGATAAGCTGAAAGAGCTGGATTGGTGTCCGCGACACGGAGTCAAAGGTACGCTTGTTCCGCTCCTTCCACAGATTCGATTCCAGGTAGCGAGGAGGACTGCGGAGTCGAAACCACGACGAGCCGGCTTGGGATAATCAAAATCCGTTCCTGTTAAGTCGTTAGCCATGGCAACAGAGAGGTTCTCGACCTTGGACTCCTGCAGGCATAAGACAGAGATGCGCTGCGAAACGACGAACTCACGCACTACACTACGACGCGCTCGGCTGTTGATGCCACGAGCGTTCCATACAAGAAGGTGATTAGAACTCATTGTAAAACAATTTTGCGACAGTGGAGCATCAGCTCTCAGAGCGTCAGGGACGACGCACGACCCCCTGCGTGGCCTGTTCCGAGGGAAGAGCTCGCGCATTGCAGCTTGCTTCGTGGACGAAAGCGGCTCCTGGAAGGTAGCGTGGAACCGTGTTGCGATCGCAGCATCCGGTGTGTGTCCTGAGCTTCTCTGCTGTTGATTTGTCCATCGACCGAGCAGTACCCGTCTAGCTTGCTTCTCAGGCACTAGGTCGCGGTAGGCAGACTTTGCCGCCAACCGATCGCTGCGGCGCGGCACCGTCTCCAGGACAGGCCTTCTCGTCGACCTTGGGCGAGGCGCTTCTGTGATCAGCGGCTTCTGGAGTGCTGCGATGAACTCTGTAACAGGCGGCGGACCCGTAGCCGGGGCATTAGCGACGGCCGTAGAACCTGAGTGGGGTCCGGGGCCGCGTCTGCATCGACGTACCCGCCGCCGGCTTCCCCGTCGAAGCGGTGGTTGCGCGGCCACGGCCTTGACCGATCGCCGCCGGTGAAGTGCCAGTCCGGATTGTTGCTGTCATCACTGTCATCATCGGGGCCCTCGTCGCCGGAGGAGGTCGGCGGCGTAGTCCAATCTTGGACCTGGATGATCCGGATGCGGGCGCGATAGCGAAGCATCGGCAAGTCGGGGTGAATGATCTAATGAGCACGCAAGAACGGCGGTGGCTCGACGACGAATGGGACCTCCGGCTCTGGGATCCCGATCAGCTTGTCTCCGGGTGTTAGACTTGGGTGGATGCACCAGGCGGCCACAACAAACTCACGCCTGTCCTCGCCGGCGACGGTCGACGGCGCCGCGACGAGATTGGCGCAGGAGGAGCCGAAGATTCGCTCCGCCGCAGGGAGTCCCCAGATGTGCGCCGACATGCCCTTAATGCCGATCAGCACTTTGTACCTCAGCGATCCCGCGGACGCCATGGACTGGCGACCCATCGCCGCCACAGCAGGTAGAACGGAGTCCCGATGGCACTGGGCCGTTGAGCACGCCCTTAAGGTCATTGCGACTGTAGAATCGGACGAGGAAGTCCTCCGGGGCATAGCGGCTGACGGTGAAAGCCTCTGGTGGCAGGCGGAAGAAGGACTGGAGGTGCTCCCGGACCTGTGCCGGCGACACCGGTAGGCGGTTGCCCCCGACCAAAGCCACCAGGGCGAGCGACGAGAGCGCTTCCTCCGCCGCGTCAAGCTCAGCAGACTGGGGGAAGATGATGATCTCGGACCTCGGGCGAAGCGAGACGTGGCCAGGAGGAGGCGGAGGTGGTGGCGACGGAGACGGCGGCTGCGGCGACAGGTCACGCCGCGGTGGAGGCGACGGAGAGCGCGAGGGCGCCGGCGATGCGGCCTGCAGAGGTGTGGACGACTCCGCACGGCGGGCCTTCGTCGTGCGTGGAGAGCCGAACTCGGGGGAGCAGACCGGCAGGACGGAGGTGTCACATCCAGTGGAGCTGGAGCGACCCGACACCGTCCCGGCCGAGGAGACGTATCCGTCAGGCCGACGAAGTCGCCGCCTTGGGGGTTCCCGGCGCCCGGGGTTGAGATTGCCGGAGGCGGGGCGCTCGCGCTTGCAGTTCCGTGCTCGGTGCCGAGAGATGTGGCAGTAGTAGCAGCACGACGGGAAGGTGCACTCCGCGTGGACGTGGTTGCCGGAGAGGCAGTTGAAGCATTTGCCAACAAACTCGGGCGGCACTGGCCTTGGGCGGTGAGGGCGCTCCTGCGCACGACGACGCCAACGCCGTCTGCTCTGGACGAGAGTGTAGCCGTCCGCGTCCATGTTCACCGCCGCAGCACGGTGCCTGAAAGGTGCAGAGGGCTGACGACGGTGGCCGTCGCCGGAAGATGGACGACGTGGACGTGGAGACGCCCTCCTGGCGCAGATGTCCTCCCGGGCCTGCCTGCGAATGGGTGACGGCGACCTCCTTGCCGGGTGGTGCGAGGTAGGGCGCCGGGCGTCCGCCATGAAGGCAGAGGCAGCGGCACGACGGCGGCCAGCGCGCCTAGCACGGCAGCGAGGAGGTGGGGCGACCGGCGACGGCTCATCGGATTCCTCGGAAGAGGCCTCGGAGTCGGTGAAGTAGATCCGGTCCTGCGGCTTCCAGGAGGAAGGGCCCGCACCCTGAGGGGAAGCCCAGGCCTAGGCGATGACCGCCGCGGCGGCGCGGGCGATGGCGGCCTCAGCAGCCGCAGCGAGGGGCGGTAAGTTCGGCGACATGTCCCCAGCCCCCTCGAGCTCTGAGGAAGACATGGAACGTAGGGGCGGGGGGCAGGGGGCGTTGGTGTACGGCGGCGCCTGAAAGGCAGCCGGCGGGCTCGGGGGTGGACGACGGCGCCTGGGTGGCCACCGGCGGGTCTTGCAGGTGGACGTCGGGGCCGGAGTGCCCACCGACGGGCAGGGGCCGGGAGAGGAGAGCGAGGCGAGTCGTTGGCTCATGCAAAAGCTTGGGTTAATGGCCCTGTTCGCTGGTGGGTGTTGGTCTTTGGTTTTTGAACCCATTTGGTGGCTTTGTTTTACGTGAGAGGAAAACACATTGGTATTTGGTTAGATGTCAAAATTTATTGAAACCAACAAACGAACAGGCTGAATGGATTAGCATGAAAAATAGGAACGCACTAAGGCAATTTTTTTAAAACATAGTATAAACGTAAATAGTCTCCAGGTATGTACACTCCCCCTACCTCTACAACCTACCTCTACGAAGACCTCCGAGAGATAAAGTCGTCTCAGGTACCACTAAAGGAATAACTATGAAAAAAGAGCATGCGTGTTGAGTACAGAATCGAACCAAGCTACGTCGATAGGTTCCACCACAACCAACGTAACCTGCTTTTTGGTTCTCATGTCCGACTCTTCTGATCTATCGGTATATATTTATTTTGGTTTAAAAAAGTGCGTAAATGCACATTAGCCATATGTATGTGTGGTTTTGTTATGGTAGAAATAGCGCTATGAATTTTTCCTGAGTTCGTTCTATTTATCGACTGCCCAAAGTAAGAGTTGGAGCGGCGCATTCTGAACCGAAATCAGGTTTTATTTGCTCTTGTCATTTCTCAGCACAAGATTCTAACTTGTGTTTCGGTTGCTTGATTATATTCATTGCTTTGTTTTTCTGGTCATCGATAGGGAAGAGACGACGACAACATCGACACTATTAGGAAGCGGTTCCAAGTTTTTCACTTCCAGGAGTCAACTCTACCCGTTGTTCAGCTATAGACGGTTCGTTTCTCTTATAATCCATACTTTTCAACTTGTTTTTTCAATCGAAACAATATTTCTCTCTCACAATAAATCAGCCGGAACAATGTTTTGGCAGCGAAACGAACGGGGCCAGTGGTCTGGTTTTTATATGAAACTTGGGGGAGTGGTCTGGTTTTTATATGAAACGTGCACTGTGCTAAAAATTGTAATTTTGTGCTAAAATATGAACGGTAACTAACCTAATCTCACTTAATTAAAAATTTGAGGCATTTTTTACATATCGCTTTGTACTCTATGCAGGTCGATGGGGCCAAATCCCCTGATGCAGTTTTCGAAGTTGCGAAGGCTATACTCTGTTCGTTTGATTGATAAGTAATGGCTGAAAGTATTGTTGGTTGATTTGTTGTGAGAGAAAAATACCGTTCGTTGATTGAAAAAATACAGCTTATAAGCCAAGCGAACAGGGCGATAGCCTTCGCTCAACTGACCACTACTCAGGTGCACTCACATTCATGTTCTCTCTTCCAATTGCAGACGCGCCAGACATGATCCTGAAAGCCTAAATGGTCTATTGTAGGAACAAAAATGAGTAAATGACATCTTCATTCTTAAAGCATCAACATCAAACTATCTTAACTCCGTCCGTAGATGTAGGTTAAATATAAATTATCATGACTAAACGGCTGTTATAGGAACAAAAATGGCTAAAAACATACATAAAAGAGATTTAATCTAGTTCCTTGAATAAATAGTTTGAGATAAAATTAATACAGAAATTGCTTAGCTAACGATCGATCGAACACTCAACGCAGAAGCGACATTATTGAAGCAAAGCAACACATAAGTACAAGACGGTAATAGTACATGGAACATTCTACAGATCACGACAGATACAATTGAGCACGCATGCAAGCTACTTTTTTATTCAGAAGATTCAGAGGAGCGGGGCACGCGCACGACGTCCTGCATGAAGTCTTCTACGCACGACGGCGGCCGCCGCAGCTGGGCGCGGGCTCCTCCTCCTCCCTGCCGGCCGGGCCGGCGACGAGGTGCTCGTAGGCGACGCCGGAGAGGCCGGCGCCGACCATGGGCCCGACCCAGTACACCCAGTGGTTTCCCCAGCGGTGGGAGCCCAACCGCGGGCCCGAACGCGCGCGCCGGGTTCATCACGGCGCCCTCCAGCACGCCGCAGGCCAGCACGTTGGCGCCCGCCAGGAGCCCCACGGCGAGCGGCGCCGCCACCACCGCCCCGGCGCCGGCCCGGACCCTCCGCGTCTGGTCCATCACCGTCACGAAGTAGGCGTGCATGAGCCCGAACGCCATGGCCGCCTCCAGCACCGCCGCCTGCCATCCGCTCACGCCCCCCGCCAGCGCGTACTCCGGCAGATGCTGCGTGAACGCGTGCGTGCATGCACCAAACGAATTAACGAAACAAGTGTCTGTCGCGTTAGTCTAGCTCGCACAAGGCAACAGTACGCTATAGGTAGATGTTTCAGTTAGTAGACGGATCGAGCACGTACCATGCCTCCGGTGGCGAGCCTGAGCACGAGCGCGGCGGCGACGGCGCCGAGCAGCTGAGCGGCCCAGTAGACGAGGGAGCGGACGAGGCAGATCCGGCCGGCGAGCAGCGCGCCGAAGGTGACGGCCGGGTTGACGTGGCCGCCGGAGATGTTGGCGGCGCACGCCACGGCGGCCGCGAGCGCGAGGGCGTGCGCGAGCGCCACCGCCACCAGACCGCCCACGACGCCGCCCTTGTCATGGCGGTGCATCCTCCCTGCGCGCGGCACCGGCACACGTGAGGTTAGTTACACGCACAACACAACAGGCACACCGTACCGCAACGTTTATACGTAGTACTGTAGGTACGTACGTACGTACCGAAGGAGAGCGTGGCGCCCTCGGCGGCGAAGACGAAGATGGCGGTGGCAAGGAGCTCAGCGGCCGCTCGGCGCAGCGTGGCGGGGTCCGTGGCCGTGGCCAGGTGGCCGACGATGAACCGGCGCCGTACCTCGCCCTGATCATACTCATGGCTGCATGGTAGCTACCTAATAATTAGTCTGTCAGGCTAACTAGGTAGTTACAGATCGGATTATCCGACTGCCTGGTTTTACTGCCGGCGAGCTAGGCCGCCGCCGCGCTCTTGCTTGGATAAGAGGCTTAGGGCGGGCGGCGAGGGTGCTTATAACGCGGGGATGATCGGAAGAGACGACGGAGCGTCACGTTCGGAGCGTGCACCGACGTGCCGTGCATGCATGCGTGCGTACGTGGTGCCTCGTCAGTCACACACCGTATCCTATCCGCCGTCGGAGGAATAAAGCAAGCAAAGCACGGCCGTCGATGCACCTGCATGCGTTTCGGCATCAGGCAGTTCCTTCTTGTGGAAGGCCTGGTGCAGGCTTTTGTGTGTCGTTTTGGCCAGGAAATCAGTTGGTCAAAGTGGCTTTATTTCCTCCTCGTCTCGTCCCCGCTCTCGGGTTCGAGTCTTTGATCGGATCGGAGCGGTTTTATATTGGGCCGCCTGCACTATACAGCACTCTGTGTGCTGCCTTAACCTGGCGTGGCTAGCTGTCTTTGATGATGATAATACTCAATGTTTTGCTTTGTTTTTGTTTTTTTGTGCTTTTTAAATCTTCAGCATTTTTATAGATGGCCTTTATTTTCTAGCGAACCTGTACGCGTGCGTGGACACGGCCGGTTGAAAAGCGTTTGTACCACCACGTCGGACGTTTATCTAGCTACTAGAGAGTTCTTTGGGCGCTGCTACTTTTTTAAGAGAGCAGGCCATCGATCTCTGCACACGAGGATGAGGGTGAATTTCCCGTGTGTTTTGCGTCAGCCGTCCAGTGATGAACAGTTTTTGGGGCAGAAATTATAATTTAATGTGTAATCACAAAGCAAGTATATATAAATATGTTTCAAATCATGTATAATGTAGTGTTAGGGACGTTGCACATATAGGAATGCCATGGCCGATCAGTTTTCCCTCCATTATGTCCACCCTGCTGTGTACAAATTAAGAACTTCAGTGCGCCCTAATCAACATTGATTAAGATGCATATATAACATGCATTACGGAGAAAAATATATCAACAGCACCACGTTTGAATTCAGATTCCAGCTTGGAGAGCACCAAAGAGATCAATATATAGACACAGCACAAGCACCCCCGATTGGAATGCACAAACTGGAGTTCACCCTTGCTTCCTCTAGGACCGGAGACATTTCATGCAATTACACAGAAGTAGCTAAACTCGGCGTCAATTTGATGCCCACGCTTAAATTCCCCTGGACTAGGGTGCAGGACTTCAGATCGACGGTAGCACATCTTGCAAAGACGATCTATCGTCGTCCTCCTATGCCCGCATGAGAATTTTTCAATTGGGCAAGGACCTTGGACAGAATGACGCGAGCCACAAATCAGGCAAACACAGTCATCTGCAAAACATAGGACTATTAAGGCAAGGAATAGCTACTGCAAGGTATGAACAGAAGTCAATATTTTATCACGAAGCTGAGATACATCCTGTGAAAAAAAAAACAAAGAGATATACATTTTCCACTCCGACGTTTAGCCCACCAAAGAGGAACACCTAGAAACCTGTATGCTTCATTAACTGGTTCATCGAAAATACATGGCATAAACCAAGATATATATCAGGTTGACTGAAATCCTACAATACAATAGCAAACCCAAGAACATCATTTGAAAAAAAAAAAATGAAACACAAACTCATCAAGTATGCCACTGGGAAGCACCAAAACTT